ATGTACTGTTGGTGCGTGTTGTTCTATAGAGCAACCCCCCCCCCCCCCACCAGAGCCACAGCCCAGGGGCGGCACACCCCTAGAGCCCCAAAAGCCCCCCGCGCCCACCCCCGACCCGCCCCAGCACTCATTTTTTAAGGTTTGGTCCCTGCTCCCTCTCCCTCTTGTGACACCTCTGAGTCTGTGCTTAGAAAAAAAAGTTGGATTAAATCACCTGTAGTAGTTGTAAAATTAAAATTTTAATAAATGGCCATGAAGAATCTGAGGCATAGAAACTCTTAACACAAATCTTAAGGAAATAAATAGTACTATCTTTATATATTATTTAATCTATATTTATTAGGGGTGCAAAAATACATGTATTTGTATTGAATCGTTCAATATATACTTGTATCGAACACTACAGATTCTTGAAATTTATCAGCTTGTCTTCTGAAGATGCTCAATGGATCTGTGTTCGACTACTCTTCCTAGGCTGCATTGTCGAGCACAGATCCACTGAGAAACTGCAGTTTCAGCAATGTTTAATTTAAAAACTGTACTTTTGAGGTTAAACAAATGTTTATAATTAATTTCAATAAATTACAAGTTAAGAAGGGCATGGAAATTTTTTTATTTTTGTATCGAAAAGAAATCGAACTGTGAGACTAAAGTATCAAATCGTGATTTTTCTGTATTGTTGCACCCCTAAAATATATATACACACATATATGAAAACGTCATAGGTATTTTTTAGTTCTCTTAAGAGGTTTAATCCGTTAAAGCATTGGGGCCCCGGGCCTTAAATGCAGCAGCTACGCTCCTGCTCGGACGCGTCGACAGTGACTTCATGCTCATTTTTCAATGCACGTCCAGCCGCCGTCGCCTCTCTGTCAGAAAAGACTCAACCTATCGCCGAGAAACCGAGTCCTTTGCCGTCTATTTGTGTGCTATTTTTTTTTTTTTAAAAAAAACACAAATACACAAGGAGACATATTCGTCAGCAAGTTGTCTAGATGTGAATGAAGCTGCTGCGGAGGACGTTTTCATTTTTTTCTTTCTTGTCGGGGGGCCGCGGTGCCTTCACGGACTGTCGTTCTGCTTTAAATTGAAGAAAGGCTGCAATTAGATCAAGATGATGAACGACGCACGATCGATTACAGGTGGTGATACATGTATATATTTCATAAATACTACTCTTTATATTAAAGCAGGTTGCAGAAATGGGAATAGAGATGTGCAAATATTTCTCCTGATTTCAGCTTTATGTTGGAGGGTGTGTGGGGGGATACTCAGGGTGTCTAATTGTCCCAAATCTGTGATGCATTTAGGTTCAAGCATTTTTTCCCCTATAATTTCACATTTAATAGAGAATTAACATTGCTTTGTTTTTTAATAAATAAAATTAATGAGCTCACATGCACATTAACTAATAGCTGCCTTTGTGTCTTTTGCAGCCCTCTGCCAAGGCAGCAGCAATGGCGGAAGCAGTGGATACATTGACCATCGTGTACTCCTGGTGCTAAAAATAATGATAGAGGAATCTGTGTAAGTTTGCCAACAATACAATGAACAACACTCTTTCACCATCTGAGCTAGTGGATGTGCCGAGACAGCAGAGCTTCAATGGCACCCCGGACACACAGACCCCTTCAGGCTGGGCCGTGATCCACACCGCTACATTGACCTTTTGCTCCCTCCTCCTCCTCTTCATCTTCTTCCTGGGCTCTTACGGCAACCTCGTGGTGTTCCTGTCCTTCTTCGACCCGGCGTTCCGCAAGTTCCGCACCAACTTTGACTTCATGATCCTCAACCTGTCATTCTGCGACCTGTTCATCTGCTGCGTGACCGCCCCCATGTTCGCGCTGGTGCTCTTCCTGGACGCCGGCGGCGGGGACGGCGTGTCCAGGGGCTTCTGCTTCGCCTTCCACCTGACCAGCTCGGGATTCATCATCATGTCGCTGGAGACCGTGGCGGTCATCGCCCTGCACCGGCTCCGCATGGTTCTGGGGCAGCAGCCCAATCGCACCGCGTCCTTCCTCTGCACGCTGGCCCTCACTGCCCTGCTGTGGACGTCCAGCTTCACCATGGCCGCTCTGCTCACCACGCGGGCCTACCCGCGCAGAGACGGCCCCTGCTTGCCGCACTTTGGACTCGGGAGTGGACAGGCCAGGGTCGTGTTGTACGTTTACATGGCAGACTTTGCTTTTTGCGTCGCTGTGGTCTCTGCATCCTATCTGATGATCGCTAGGACGCTGAGGAAGAATGCTCAAGTGAGGAAATGTCCAATCATCAGCGTGGATGCCACCTGCCCGCCACCGCAAGCCCCTCCCCCTTTTATCGCAGCAGGTTTCGAGAGCATGCAGTGTGCCGTTCAAGGCCCTTCTCTGTACCGTAACCAGACTTACAACAAACTGCAGAATGTAAAAACACACACTTGTGCCAACAGACCCAGCCAGCCTGCGGTTCCAGGAGCAGCACAAGGAGCCACCTGCTGCCAGCTGGTCTCGTCGGTTAATTTGGCCACGGCAAAAGACTCCAAGGCAGTTGTCACCTGTGTCGTTATCGTGGTCTCCGTTCTGCTTTGCTGCCTGCCAATGGGAGCCTCACTAGCGCAGGATGTTTTATCCCCGAAAAGTAGCTTTTCCCATTACCAGTTTGAGCTGTGCGGCTTCGTGCTGATTTTCCTCAAATCGGGCATCAATCCGTTCGTGTACTCGCGCAACAGCGCGGGCCTCCGCCGCCGCGTGCTGGGCTGCGTGCAGTGGGCCGCGCTGGGCTTTTTGTGCTGCAAGCAAAAGACTCGACTGCACGCGATGGGGAAGGGCAGCCTGGAAGTGAACCGCAATAAGTCCTCCCACCACGAGACCAACTCGGCCTACGTGCTGTCGCCCAAGCCGCCGAGGAGGCTGGTGGACCAAGCCTGCGGGCCCAGCCGCTCCAGGGACTGCGACAGTAGTCCGAAGGCCACGGGCGCCCGCAAGCCCCGCCTCCCAAGCACGTCCACGCCAATGAACACCCGCATCGAGCCGTACTACAGCATATACAACAGCAGTCCCTCGGCAGGACCCAGTTCTCCCACCAGCCTGCAGCCCGTCAGCTCTCAGACGTTTGCCTTTGCCAAGTCCTACGTAGCCATGCACTACCACACTCACCAAGACGCACTGCAAGACTTTGACAGCACCTCAGTGCACCAGATCCCCATTCCTTCAGTGTAAACGTTAATCTGAGAGACTTAGGGCTTTAAAGTGCCTGTGACATTTAAGAAAGTTGGAACAATACACACGATTTAACCCTATTTTTCCCATAACTAGCATAATTTCTTTTGAACTTGGCTCAGCCAAAGTGAAACAGGAAGTGACATCAAAGGGGAACTCTTAAACAAATAAAACTCTCTAGTCTTTGTTTTATGGAAACAATATTATTTGAATTCTAACCTGTCTTCATCTTTCTGATTGTGGCTCAAAATAATCTAAAGAAACGTCAGATTCTTCTCTACAGTCTGGGTTGTTGGCTGTTGTAGCAACGCTCTGTTCATTGCGGACATTCCCCTTTGGCATCACTTCCTGTCACTTCACAGGCAAATATCTCAACAACTGTTCATCTCAGTAACATGAAATTTCTTTTGCAATATTTTATCAATGTCCTCTTTCTAAAAACACATTCATGTTTATTTCAAAAATTTGATGTCACAGGCACTTTAAATCAAATTTGGAGTCAGTATTACCATCATTGCTCTTTTACAGTGGAAATACATGTTACCAGAATTATAAGCTTTGAACCTAAAAAGGCACAAGCTTCATTTGAAAAAGCTTCTAATCCCGAAAGTTAATCTCTCTTATATTTTCCCTCCAAAAAACAGTTTTAGTGAAACCTTTTATGTGCCATTATAATTCATGACCACAAGTACCTAACCTGACACGGCAGCTGATAGTTTCGCTCCCGACATCCCTGAAACCAGCTGCAGCAGCGTCAGGCCGAGAAAACCTGCACAAGTCCTCTCGTGACTTCTGGTGTTTGCACACGGGTGGAGCGGTGCCAATTTAGAAAATGTATTTGTCAAACTTCATACACTTTTTAACACAATAAATGTTCTGCAAAGTGCAGAGGGACTTTGGCTTTTTTTTTGTTTTGCAGAATGTTTAATTATGAATAAGGTAACAAAAGGATTTTGTTAAGAAGAAAACACACAGCCCTCGTTTTAACCTTAATTAGCACCGACTGTAGCTAGCATGCTAGCAGGGATATCTGACAGTGCTTCCAATCTCCTGTGTACCTCTGAAGAACGTGAGAGCAACCAACATGTCACAGAAAAAAAAAGGTTTTGAGCGAAAATGTTACCAAATTGGCTCCATCTAGTGGTCTTAAATCATCCAAGAGCTACAGTGCAGTGCAATTTGATTCCACAATGTCCTTAACTTTCATTGAACTTAACTTTGTGCAGCGTTACAAATCAATTTTTCTTTTTATTCTTTGAAGAAAATTCATTAGTTTTTACCATCACACAGCAGAAATGAAGTTCCCAGAGTGCAACTATTCATAAAATTACAGAAAACCTCTTAAATGAACATAAACATCCTGTACATCCCACGAACATCGGAAATTCATTAAAACACTTACTCTTGTTGTTCCATAGCAGTCTCTCATTCATAAGTTACACACATTCATCCCGTAAACTGACAGCACACACTATGCTGCAGAGCATTTGCTTTTTTTCCCTCCTACTTAGGAGTCAAGTAGCTCATTTTACACCATCCACTCTCATAAACTCACTATGCAAACCTTAGGAGACAATAAAACCCCAATGAACAGAGTTGGTGATTACTGATTCTCTTGCAATGAATKATTTTTTTGAAGAATCATCCTTACAAAGTTCAAGCAAAGAAAAAAAGGATGTTTTGTTGGATTCGCCCCCTTTTCGTTCTTTTCTTGTCTGTTGGGGTTGACCGTTGTATCACCGGTTCTATTCCTCGGCTACATGAAGTCCAGCCTCAGGATCAGGTTTAAACTCAGTTTTGGCATCCGGCACAGCCTCACAGGAGAGTCTTCTTCCGTTTTAAAAGTGTCCCATTGTCCTTCATGCACCGCCGCCGTCACAGGATCTCAGCCTAACTGGAGAGTGACAAAAGTCCGTTCTCATCAGCTGTGTCCAGAACTCGGCATATCACCGGAGACTCAACCTAAGATAAACAAAAAAAAACAAAAAACATATCACCAAATTCCATCTATATGGCCAAAAGTCCTCTTTATTTAAGGTATTTTTTTTATTTGTCTAACCTGCTCAGACAAGAGAAATGACCCAACATTTTCTCATTGCTAAAAGTGACAAAGATTCAATAAAATATCCAAAATTTGCATTTACAGAATTGAACCAACTCTTATTATAGTACTTTTTTCAGTTTGGAAATTTGACCAAAACAAAACTAGACCCCTTCACCAAATTCCAGGATTAAGAATAATCCTATTTCCTACAACACTAATGAGCCACGTGATCGCCGGGAGAGAGCAACAAACATGTTACGTCAGCYGTCATCAGGAACACGACCCTGCAAACGAGCTCCTTGTATTCTTRACTTCAGCGGCGGTAAACTCACCCCGAGGATGTACTGACAGGTTTGAGGCTCCAGCATGTAGACGGTGACAGCATGTGGAGACTCAGACTCTTTACACCTGACAGAGAGAAGAGAAAGTATATCAGAGAATTAAGAAAGGGAAACAGCGGGCCGGTTCAGATCACAGCTGCTGTTGTGTGTTCACTCACTTGAGCTTGACAATGACTTGTCTGGGCTTCCCTGTCAAATCGCACACATCGCCGTGACCGTAGAAGTGGGAAACCCACCTATAATAGTGAGGGGGGAAAAAATGTAAAAACAAGCAAATTAAATCTAATTTGCATCAGGGTTATTTTTCATTTAATTTGAATGGCTTACTTGACTTTCTGAACCCCGTTATCTTTGAGATGCAGAGATCGGGCGACGTTGTTCTTGGCCCAGTCGATGTGCTCGTCTGCATTCCAGTTCCCCACCACCACTATGTTCTTTCCATGCTCTTTGTCCTGGAACACAGTGGGAGGTTTTATTCACAGAACTAATGCTTTCTAAATACACCTTTTTTAAATAAAATCACTACATCCCAGAAAATATACTGTAGTGTATTAAACAGAGCCTGTCCAGTGAGATTGGATACAAAACTATAAATCTTGTGGCCACACATTTACCTCATGGCCACACATTATATAGCTCGTGGCTACACATTATCTACCTCATGGTCACACATTTACCTCAAGGCCACACATTATTTAGCTCGTGGCCACACATTACTTACCTCATGGCCACACATTATCTAACTCGTGGTCACACATTATCTACCTCATGGCCACACATTATCTACCTCGTAGCCACACACTATCTACCTTGTAGCCACACATCTACCTCATGGCTACACATTATCTACCTTGTGGCCACACATTATGTACCTCGTGACTACATGTTATCTACCTCATGGCAACACATTATCTACCTCGTGGCTACACACTATCTACCTTGTAGCCACACATCTACCTCGTGGCTACACATTATCTACCTCGTGGCTACACATTATCTACCTCGTGCCCGCACATTATCTACCTCGTGCCCGCACATTATCTACCTCGTGCCCGCACATTATCTACCTCGTGCCCGCACATTATCTACCTTGTGGCTACACATTATCTACCTCTTGGCTACACATTATCTACCTCTTGGTCACACATTACCTACCTCGTGGTCACACATTATCTACCCCGTGGCCACACATTATCTACCTCGTGGCTACACATTATCTACCTCGTGCCCGCACATTATCTACCTCGTGCCCGCACATTATCTACCTCGT